TGGAGACTGGCGCCTTGAGCTTGGCAGGCTCGGAGAAGGCGGCAGACCAGCAGCTCATAGCAGCGGGGAAGCGCGGCCAGACAGGGTCTGGAGAGCGTGTCTGAGTTGCCCCGAAAATTCCCGCCAAATCATCCGCTTCAGGCAGGGCCGGTTCTGGCACAGCTAGCCCTTGCGGGCTGCTGACGCAGAAATGATGGCGGGCAGCTCCTGGAGCAGTGCTCTTACTGCTGGCAGGGAGGAGCGAGAAGCCACTGGGGCAGAAGGACCCGCTGAGCGAAGCTCGTCGACCTCCGTTATGTCTAGGAGGGACGCCGCCTCATCGTAGTTTTCGCTGTCAGTGACGTCATCCAGCCGGTTGAAGCCAGCCGGCTCCTGACCGGCGTCGAAGAAAACCAAAGCCTTGTCCAGCAGGTAGGAGTCAGCCACCGGAAATTCTTCGTCGGCGGCGGGAGTGAAGTACTCGACCCGGGGAATCTTCTCCGCCACGGGCAGAGCGGCACAGAACGGGCACGAGGCCTGCGGGGTCAAGGCCAGGCCAGCGTGGTGAGCCCCGAGACAGACCTCACACTTAGCGTGCAGGTCGCCGCTGGAAATGGAGCCCGTCTGGCAGGTCGGGCAGGGTCTGGTGTCGCTGGACATGGCTGGTAAGTCGTCTTCGGATAATTTGCTCTTTTGAGATAATATTTGCTCTTTAATAAAGCTCTCAAGCTTGGCATGAAGAGAAAAAGGAGGTGAGCAGTGGGGTCACTGCGGTTATATACCACGAGGGGGCCCACTATTGGTGGGCGTACATTTAAGCTCTTCATGATTGGCTGATGCGGAGATCATCCTTCCAATAGCAGCTAGCTTAAGGGCTAAGACTAGACGAAATAGAACATGTACAACTAAAACTATTATCACTAACTTTCTTTGGAGTATACATATCAGTATATATATATGTGTGTGTGTGTGTGTGTGTGTGTGTGTGTGTGTGTGTGTGTGTGTGTGTGTGTGTAAGCATGCAATCTTTTATACACTATTTTACAAATTCAAACAGTTCATATACTTAATATAAGGATGGATAAATACATAATAAAGTAAACTATTGTATTGTATAAATGCTATACAATGCAATAAATATACAATAAATGTTTTCCATTTATTTACCACTGTAAATGTTCTATGTGGTGCTTATAACCCAGGTTTACTTCTTATCTCCATTAGCAGGTTAAACATCTCTATGGATGAGCTATATGAGTGTGTCACTGCAACCAGCCTTCTGGAGCACCTTACCAAAGGACATCAGGAGAACGAAAAGTGGGAGTCCAAGGGAACAGCAGAGAAGTGGATGGAAATTCTTCAGGCAGCTGACCTCCCCAACATCCAGCCTGTTGTATCCTTTGTACTCAGCATCCCATCTTCCACTGGGTTTGCAGAGAGGATTTTCTCTCTCATGAAGAATAAGTGGACTGATGTGCGGAACAAATGTTCTACTGAAGTAATTAGATGTGAGCTCATTGTCACTCTAAATTGTGACATGTCTTGCTCAGAGTTTTACTCTGCAGTACTGAAAGACAAACAACTCCTAAATGCAGCAAGATAGCAAAAGTAATGCAAATGGAGAAAATAGTCTGTTTTCACATAATGTAGCACTGAGCTTTTGAGTTCATGAGTTTGAACACTTTTTTTTTTACTTCAACTGTAGGCTACAGTCAAGGCCTTAAGGCACAAATATGTTTACAGCTTCTCCGCAGACTTTCTGTTTGCACTTTTCTAATTGCACTAAATGTGCACTGTTACAGAGTTGTTCTTTCTGTTGCTTTCTATTAATTTATACAATTTTAAGTTAAGCAGAACAGAGCTGTTTTAAAGAGAGAGTTATTTATATTCTAAAAAGTAAAGCATAACAGGGTTCCGTTTACGAAAGAGACCTGCTTTATTGCATTATTTTATCATTTTGCACAAAAAGTTGAGCATAACAATTTTCTGTTTAAGAAAAATACCTTTGTTACTTACATAATTTTGTCATTTCACACCATAAATAAATGGCTAAATGATCATTTGTTTCCCATGTTTTCATATCACAAAAAAATATGCATCTTCTTAAACCAACTTCAAGTCTAATAGTAAAAAAAAATCCTTTCACACACAAAAAAGAGCAAAAAAAAATCACCACGCTGGGAAGGGTGAAAGCAATCGGGGTGGCCGGCCCTGCCCGCGAGGTGTCCCTTATTTATTTTTCAGGGCGTTGGCAGCCCTAGTCACTGGGTCCTCCTTGGAGCTGCATATAGGGGCATCAAAGCAGTCTTTTAGCCTATCACATTTGCGAGTCATTTTTGGCTGACTCGAACTGACTAAATAGTTAATGTGAACTGCTTTAAATGTCAACCATGAAAGCAGACAGCAGTCACATTTCAGCTGGCCTCTCTCGTATTGATCTCTTTCTGTTTTAAACACAGTTAGGCCTTTCCATTTGTTAAAATGTTAAATAATAAAACAAAAAAATATTAAATATATGACATTAAATGATTCATGCAAACTTGTGATTTTACAGGTGTAGCATTCTATTTGTTTGTCTAGGAAGAAAAATGCTTCAGCTGATAAATCTTGGTTTATGCTTGACGCATTCACTTTCCGCTTGGTGATGCGGCTCGCGGATGGAACGCGCTTCACAACTTGCAGCGTTTATGGTTCGTGTGGCTTGTCTCTGCGGCGAGCCAATATTCTCCCAAACTGTAGGGGGCAGCATGAAGCTCTACAGCATGCATCCAACACTATTAAAGATGAAGTGGAACCACGCTAGAAACACACAAGCACGCAGGGAGATGGTGCCGCCACAGGGATTGGAAGTCTTGATGAAATCTCCGGCGAAACGCTTTAAAACTGGTGAGGAGAAGAGAGACAGTTCGAAATGGTATGAAGCAGAGAAGCGTGTGTGTAGGTGGAATGATTCTTGGCGGTTTGAAGAAGACGGGAGGCGCAGAGAATGGCCGTGTTCAAGTTGAGCAGCGGCTCGCCTGGAAAACAGACGAGAGCAGACGGAAGCAGCAGGGGGAGTGGCTGAAAGCCGGCGTTTAAGTCGGACAGATTTCCCTACGTGTGTAGCTCCGGGGTGACGTTGGCTGAAGATATCGCGTTAGCGTTCACACTTGTTCAATTTTAATTCTGGTGCCTGTTAGCAGCTGAAACACATCCTCATGTGCTTGTGGATATCATATATTGTATATGAAAACATGACTGTAATAATAAGTAAAGGTTATCAGCTGTAGGTTCAGTGTGCTCATAGGAAACGTGACAAAACACATTTCTCTTTGTGGCCTATATTGTTGTCATCATCAACATAACATGATTTACAGAATACATGTGACCAACTATCATTTCATGTTCTACCACCGGATGTTTGGATCAAAATATGAACCAATCAGATCTTAGATCAGGTGAGAGCCAGGCGTTTCCCGTCATCCCCTAGGTTTAGTAGCCGAGGGAGAGCAACTGCAGCGCCTTGCTCCAAAGTCTGCAGCCGCCTTGATCTCACGAGGTTATCGTTGCCTACGTATGCATGACGTCAGAGCAAGTCGGCGTCAAGTCGGACACAAATCTAACCGGCAAGCACTGCTCGCCGCTCACCGCTGGTCTAATCTGCGCATAACTGGCTCATCTCGAACACGGCCAATGGCTCGAGTACAGCAAAGCGGAGTTGGTGAAGTACTGCGTTGTATGCCGTAAGTATGCGACGACAAACAGCTTTTAACAGCATCCTTGTCTGTTCCGACAGTGCGAGCTATTTCTCTCCAAGAATTATTAACAACATGTTGATCACGGTGATCTTTGAGAGCTGAATCATACAAATGTCTGTATTTACGAACTCTGCCATACTAGTTCATGCCAGCCCGCCTTGTTTTTCCGTGTTCGACCGTCCGCGTGGTTAGAAAATTTCCTAGGTGCGCGGTGCGGAAAGTTTGGGCCGTGCGGAGGCGCAGTGGAGGGGCGTGGTTGTTAAAATGACACAATTTTGCCACGCGGAGCCGTGCGAACCTCGCGGACGTGTCAAGCATAAGGCCTCACTGTTCTTGCATACATTCTGCTGAAGAACCATAATGGAACATTTCTGCATTTTACAAAAAATCATTCTTTAGTTAAAGGTGTGGTTCACAGAGAAAAAATGTTTTAATGATTATTTCTGATTATAATCAGTCACTCTGAGTTTTTCATGCAGACTGAAAATGAAAATAGTCTCCTACACCAATCTCCTGCATTAGCTTCCGATAGAAAATAGACGGTGAAACTTGAGGATTTTACAAGCCTGATTGATCTACGTCACACTGTCACTTAACATTCATGGACTCATCCATCTTGACTCAAGTGGGGAAGGATGTTGTTGGTTTAGCATCCAGGAAACAGCAGAGAGCATCTCTGCTAGCAGAAACTATCTATTAGCATTAGCAATTCCACCACATGGCAGAACTCTTGCAGGCTTGTGTTACTTGTGGAGATAAAAAATCAATGTTGCAGAGCAAGCAGAGTCAGTGGTAGAGCTCCGTTTCTGTTAGCCAAGTGAGATGTCCCAATATTAGGAAGCAAGACTCCAGATCATACCGTTTGAAGCTCTCCTCTGATCTGGCAATCTTCTAGATCCTGAAACCGGTGTACCAGGGGTTTTTGTACCCAGAGTCAGACTTACAAGCATTCATTCATAGAGACAACTGCAAATGGATCCCACCTTTAAAGTCAGCACAGTGCAGCATTGTTCAAATCTATAGCACCAAGAATGATCTGCTAATTCCTGTTTAGAAAAAAACGACCAAATAAAATGATATGATGGTATCTCGAAACAGTCCTCTGCGCATGCAGAGCAGGAATGTGGAAGACCTCGTTGATCTCATTACCACACAAATTTGTGATAAGGAAACGTATGATCTGGGAGAATAAACAGAAACACAAAAAAATTCAGATAACTGCGCTAAACTCTGACTTCACTGAGCTGGTGATCTTTAGCAACATAAACGATCTAGACAAATAAGGCCAATAACATGTTTTTTATTGTTTTGTTATTGATGTTCATTTCACTTGCACTCAGTTTCTTTTTTTTTTTTTTTACATTTTGCAGCATGGTTTTCTATATTTTTATCAACTCTAAGAAAATCACATTTACACAAAGCTCTTTACATTAGTAGGTAACTACATATGACATTCAGCGTATTTGGGGACCAGGTCCTGATGTAACTCTATCAAGTAATAAAATCACAGATAATCACAGTGAGCCTCCCCATGGACATCACCGTGATGCAGATTACATGTCCGGCTGCCTCTATAATGAACGTACATGGTCAAACGACTGTACATGCAAAATATCTGTACAGTACATCTCAGCTATCAGATAACCTGCGTGAATTTCAGAGTAAAAGTTCTTGTAAAATGTTAATGTTCTCTAAGTGCTACATGATTTTGTAATTACAGTATGTTGGCATACATTATGAGTTCGCCGGCAACCTGTTTGTGATGCAAGTCTCGGTTTTGGTGCAATGTTTTTACAGTTTGCTTGAGTCTCCAAGGCTCATCCGTAGTTGTGACTTCAGTTCAATAAAAGCCTTCATTAGCTCTAAAATAAAAACAAATAAATCACAAATGAAAAAGTTCTAACAAAGTAAAAGAGGAGGGGGAACAGAGTCAAATTTGTAAACTCAAAGACACTGAACACTGTACACAGGCACTTGAACTGTGGTACACTCTTTGAGTGCAATCATATATCTACTAAGTGCTACAAAATAATATCACTTAGAAAAAACACTTGTAGTACTATTCGTAGTATGAACAAACTGGAAACGTAAGGATGAAAACATTTTAAAATAACAGACGTTGGGCAAATATAAACCAATCTTCAAACGTGTCTTGCATATTTTCAGTGTAGACCCAGGCTGTGCATTCTGACAAAGACACTCTCACTTCACAAAGTGTTGGAGAAAGAGAATACGTCATCCCGGGGAGCACGGTTGGAGGGCTGGTTGGCCCTCAGGGGAGGATGGTAATGAGGCGTTTGTGGGTTGTTGGGGGTTAATTTTTTCACCTTTACACCGACTCTCTGGTTACCCGTACTGTAGCAAAGTCTGCTTTAATGTCTGAGCCACAGCTAGGATCAGGATGAATCATCCCAGCTAGAAGAGTGAATCACACACTCGTCTTTGTGTGTGTATGTGTGTGCGTGCATGTGTGCGTGGTCACATGTTCACCACAAGGCCGCAGACTACTGCAGGACTCGTATCTGTGTCCATTCATTATGTCTCGGTGATTCATGAACCACGCGTGAGGAGACCAGAGAGCTTAATTGTCTGAAGGTGTTTGTGACCATGTGATCGATCCACAGTACCACACAGCACGTGATGACTCATTTTTTTTCTTTGTTTTCCTCTCCCTCTCTGACATTTCCTATCTATCACTAACCCCTACGAGTGCGACTAACAAGCAAAGTTCTCCAAAACTACTGTCGTCTCGCAGCGTCATTATTGCTGAGACGTAGATGACAACTTTTATGACACTTGGTGAGGATAAATATGTGGGGAGGATCCACAGAACTAACACTTGTGTTTTTGAATTTCAATTAAACTAAGAATTAATGCCATTTCAAAGATGATATGAAGTAGATGTATAATCTTTTCTTACACAAAGCCAGTTTAACAGTTTCAGGCTCCACTGGTTTTTACTCTGAACAGACCGGTTTCTGTCATGAGGAAAATCAGATCTCCTCCACATCTTAGTCCCTTTCTCCTGCAGTATCAAACCGCGTCTTTAAAATAACACATCCTTTTCATATGGCAACATTATAGAAGTCATGAAGGAGGCATCCTTTCCATACAAGTTGGTTACATAAAATTTTGAAGCATGTTGTCATGTTTTTGTTTGGAAGAGGTCATGAAGAAACACTTACTTTGAACTTTATTTAACTTCAGCTCAAGATAATGATTACGTTTTTAATTCCTGGTGAAGTTTCTTCATCCTTCTATGTTCAGAATCAATGAGACGGTACTCATTTGCTTCCTTGATGACATTTCTTTTCTCATCATAGCAGCTTTACCGTTTCAAAGTGAAAGATGCAGGGTAAAACAGTTTTAAACTGCACTGATATCTTTGTTAACATGAGCTCCTGACAGTCTTTGTTCTTTTAGTCCCCGTGCAGAGCGCTTTGATCACATTCTCACATGTGTGGATTACTGTAAAGCCAGGTGGGGACTCAGTTCAGAGAGGATTTCTGGGTTTGAGGTTGCTTTGGATACCACAGGTGTGTTCATATTTTGACCACATAAGGTGGGTGATCTTAGAAAACTCTGAGTTTCCAATGATCTGACTCTGATCTTGAAACTCAAACTGCTTCACAGAAATCTCTTCACCAATAGGAATGTGGTCACAACATCTTGCACGTGGTGCAGGACATCAAAACCGTTAATGACCCTCTGGATGGTTTGTGAGTTAAGCCTGGTTTATGCTTCTCCGTCAGCTCCGCAAGGGACAGACACGCACGGATTGACGGAAGCGTTTTGCTTCTCCGTCTCCTGGAGAGCGTTGCAAAGCAATTGCCCGGCAGGACCACAGAGGGCGTAGCGCTGTTCTGTGGTATCCTGTCATGTATCGGTCCAAGATAGTGTGTTTACCGTGAATCCTCTAATACTGGCCCGGGCCTGTATTTGACTCAAGCTCATCAAGGCCCAGGCCTTTATTGGAAGGAGGGTCAGTATTAGAGGCAGGCCTCTATTTCTATTTGAGAAAAATGAACTAATGGTTCGCTGGAGTTTTTGACAATTAAAATTGTGCCCACATTTTCAAAGTTAAACACATTTCTTTTAACAACGGTAGTTTCTGCTTCAGCCCTCTCCCCCCTCCCCCTGCGCAGCGGCCGCAAACTCACTGATGCGCCTGCAGCCTCTCGGAGTTCCTGCTGCTCTAAACATTAAAATAATTATTTCATTTTCTGTTTTTCACTTCTGATTACCTTCAATGGTGTCTGTTTGTTGCAACCACCAGGTACAAAAACTAACTTGTTTTTATTTGGCTATTTTTCTGTCCTGCCTGTTTATTATCTTCCTGCATCTCCTCTCAGTCCTAAAGAGAAACTGCTACCTGGGTTCATATATATTCACCTCATGAGTTACCTTTGAACTGCAGTTCTAAAAGATCTACCGACCGCTAAAACAGCGGAGTGCTCGCTGCTTGGCGGCCGTATCAGTGATCAGTGCGTCGGAGGACAAGGTGATGCGCGCAGCGCCCCGCTCCACAGCATGCAGCGAAACGCATCAGGCGCAAATAAAAGGCAGAAAACATCAAAGGAAATGAACCGACATGAACCGACATGAACGATCGCGTGTCAGTACCGACGCTCTGCAGCAACCCCTATTGCTCCCTAGTGTTCTGCAGCATAATCAGCACGTTCTCTTTGAACTTGATATCAAATTGCCTCCTCTTCGTCTCCACATGGTTAAAGTTACCCTCGCGGTCTATCACTGGCAAATCAAAAGTGAGACGATGACACAACCGCCCCCGTACTTGCTTGTTACCACATTCCACCCGGCCACAATAAGAGACCGGCCATTATTCACCTCCGCCGCCTCCGACACCGACCAAAATTGGAGACCCGGCCTTTAATTGAATACCGACTTGTATTAGAAGATTTACGGTATATTATGTTTTTTGTGTATATAAGAGACTTTTTAACACGGACATATTTGTCTCTCATTCTCCACCTCTTCATGCGCTCCCCACCTCTAAACCCACGTTTCCTGTCATTTCCGTCCACAAATAAAATGCTTGCTGCGCATCTTTTCACTCCTCCAGTCACGGGAGAATTAAACGTTTACATATTTAGTTTTTTCGCGAGGTGTTCTTCAAGCTTCTCCGTGTCTGCCGCTAGTTATCCTCGGCTCTATTTGCAATGGCGGCCCTGTAAACAACAGCTGCGTCCTGACCAATCACAAGCTTGCGTAATCCGTCTCGTTCGACGGATGTTTAAAAAAGTGGGCTCGACTCCGTACGTACTTGCGTGCCTGCCGGAGCCCTACGCAAGGACGGATAATGGCGTTGCGTGTCTCCACACTGACGCAGACGGAGAAGCATAAATCAGGCTTTAGCTTGCAACAACAGCTGTCATTACAGTTAAACAGCTTGGTATTCTGCATTTCTCAGCAAAGGTTAATAAAGTACCTTAAATACAGTATTTCACACCAACATGACTCTTCTCAGTATGTATAGTTGTCAATGTGTGCCAGCAAAACCTTTTGTCACTGGTCTGTAAACAATCGAATCAATGAATCTAATAACATCCCAGCTCCGTCTCAATTCCTCTGTTCACTCAAATCCTCTGAAAGTCAACACAATCCCAGTCACACCAGAAGAAAGAAATCCTGAGAATCTATGTGCGCCTGTGAGGAATGAATGCAGCCGTGCTCGGCCACGTGTGTGTTGTTTACAAGGTTCACTTCTACAGCTACCGCCAGCAGCAGGGGGGGGGGACACATGAAAGTGGTCTTCAGTAATGAAAGGTACCACACGGCTTTAGAAGTGAGTCTGGACTAAGTGCTTTATGTCACCAGAGCAGTGTGGTAAATGTCAGCAGCCTCAAACTTGGATAAGAGGTCTATAATATCACACTGACGCTTCAGCAAAAGCCGCGCAGCCTCGACGCCGTCTGCAGCATTAATCTTATGAGAGTGGAACAGAGGCTAAACGAAGCTGAAATCCCTGAGGTAATTACTACCTGCCTGTCAGGACATCTCCTAGATGGGCTTTGTGTTGACATGAACGCCAACGACAAAGCGTTTCTCCCCCAGCGCTGTTTATCGCCCAGCAACACCGATGAGGCTGTATGCACGACTGTAAAGCTGGAGGTGCCTTCATCCTCTGAGGGGTGTCCCAATATCCTGCTCAGAAAACACTATAAATCTCCCATTTGCAGATTAATTAGCAGCGATGACACTGTTACTCCCTTTTTTTACTCCACAGATGGCTTCCCTTTCCCTTTATCTCAGTGAGTCAGCAGAGCTCCACCGTCTAGAGATGTTCCTCTCCTCTCTTGTTGCACATCCAGATCTTTATGGGGTAACGTGGAAGCAGCTTGCTGAATCAGCCGTGCAGCTCGTGTAGAAATGAAAGTGCTGTGCCACTAACATGAGACAAACATTTGGAGTGTGACATTGTCAGCAAGACACTGCTGAAGAACAATCCCAGGAGACACGGTGAGACGGGAAGCTGTGTGGCTGTAGCCGAGGAAGAAGTAATGACTTTTCGTTTGAAGATGAGTCACTCACGTAATGAAATAGTATAACGAGAGACACGTTGGTAGTTAAATCAAACAAGAAGAATACATTTCAGAAGAAGATGGGGGTGACTCACGGCACTCCTGCTGCTTTTAGTATCGCCAATGACAACGGGTGTCTGACGGAGTGAATCCTGTGGAGAGGGACTGAGGTGTGTGAGAGTGGGACGCTGCAGAAAGAGATATGAGAGGGGAAAATGCCCCGGTCTCTTTGATGCAAGAGACAAAAATACATGCTGATTTACCCTTCAAGCGCAAACGTATCATGGCAGCTGATCGCAAAATTAAAAGACGCTTGGAATATTTCTAAAGAAAAAGGTGTGTTAAACTGGCAGCCGTAAATAATTGTGTCATATATTGTAATGGGTTGTTAAAATGAGATGTTGTATTTATGAGTAACACTGGTTCTTGTGTTTGGTATTGCCATAGATTTTGTGTGCAGGCACACTTTATGACAGAGTCAGTTTCAGGGATGAAGAGTCTCAGACTGTGGCCCAAAGGTGCTGGAAGGTCCGAGTCAGTCTAGTGGTTAATCTGTGGCCACTTCAGCCATGAATCACAGTCTTCTTCTACATGATCTGTGTGGCACCCCCATCCTTTGCTTTGGTCCATGATTAGTTCCAATGCTCTTGTCCCTGTCCTCAGTCCAGATGCCTCCTCTTCCTCCTCAAACTTCAGGTGGAGGTGAGTCAGGATGGGGGCCTCCATCCACACTCACCACTGCAAAGCAAAAGACAATTACTTTACTGGGGGAAATTTTGATTTTCTGCAAATGTAAGTTTCCCAGTCAGGCTTCAAACGCAGACTCTTCCCTGTAGGGAGCCCTGTGGTGTCATACATCCATCTGAGACTGTTATTTTGAAGCCATTAGCTAAATGAAGATGAGAGACAAACGCTCTCTTTTCCTACAAACCTCTCAACCTATTTTCCATTCAGGCAAGCCATGGAAACACCTCGGGAATGCAAAGGCGTTTTTGACAGGATCCCAAAATGTACTGTGTTTCTTGTCTTTTTCAATGCTTCCTTGTGTCAGAGAGCTGCATGACAACAACGTTTAGAGGAAAAGATCTTGCTTTCACATTGCAGCCCCTCCTCTGTCACCACCACAACAAAATAGCTCTGGTCCAAACTTTCAATGTGACTGACGCCTAATTAATCATATCGTTGAAGACCAAGTTCACTTTTTCTTCAATACATTTGCAGGATAAATATAGTGTTGTTGTGAGTTGATCTCTGTGGGGGGAAGCTCTGGCGCTCTTGTTTCAGGAACCAGAACACAGGTGAGCTTCAGACGGCAGGATTTGATCAGTTTCCTGATATTCAGACATCTCGTTTCTGATTGGCAAACAGCAACACAACTCTACCATTGATTCTGTTGAAGCTGGCCTGGTGCTACATCTGCAGTGATGCAGGCTCTGTACCGATCTGTCGTGGTGAAGAAAGAGCTGATCCAGAAGACAAAGCTCTCAATTTGCTGGTCGATCTACGTTCCCACCCTCATCTATCGGTCACGAACTTTGGGTAGTGACCAAAAGAATCAGATGGCGAATACAAGCGGCCAAAATCAGTTTTCTCTGCAGGGTCGCTGGGCTCTCCCTTAGAGATAGGGTGAGAAGCTTGGTCATCCGGGAGGGGCTCGGAGTAGACCCGCTGCTCCTCCACATAGAGACGAGCCAGTTGAGGTGGCTCGGCCATCTGATTAGGATGCCTCCCTGGTGAGGTTTTCCAGGCACAGCCAACCGGGAGGACCTAAAGGAAGACCCGACATGCTGGAGGGACTATGTCGATCGGCTGGCCAGGGAACACCTTAAGATGGTCCCAGAGGAGCTGGCCCAAATGACTGAGAGAGGGAAGTTTAGGCCTCCCTGCAACCCGACCCCGGATAAGCGCCCAAAAATGGATGGCTGGATGGATGAATACCAGCAACATGACTCTACCACTGACTTTGTTTGCTTTGCAATGCTGATGTTTTATCTCCACAAATAACACAAACCTGGAGGAGTTCTGCCATGTTGTGGAGTTGCTAATGCTAATGGTTAGCTTCTCCTTGCTGACAGGGATGGACTGGGACCATAATTCAGCCCCTGGAATATTGAAGCTGTCATGTAAAATGTTTTTGGGGAGGTATCCAAGCAGGAGGAGGTGAACATTGCTGCAGTCTGCTCGATCCTATGATGGGAGGGCTCCTAGTGGTGGGGGCAAGAGGCTGATGAAGGCCACAAAATGGCCCTGGAGCACACCCTTCGTCAACGGGGGCACACCAGCCGTTTTGCTAGCCAAGACCTGCTCTGCTCCCTCCTGGACATTGAAATCAACAACAGTAGCTAGTCAAGATGGGTGAGACCATGAATGATGCTATTCAATGTGACAAGGAACTGCTTGACTTGTCTAATCTGAGCATTCCCCCATCAATTTTCTTTAAGAAGCTCATTTAGATTTAGGAAATAGTGGCAGAAGACTCTTTCACATTTTGCTTGTGTGTTAAACTCATTTAATTTGTTGGATCTCTGAGACATGATCCCGATCTTTTCTCTCCGGTTTTCTATTCATTCGTTCTAGGTGAAGGGGAATAGTTTGTGCTTTCCACATTCAGATTGGGTGTTAAACCCCAAATGATGCTCAGAACTTTTCAAATAGAATAGAGTGTGGCATGTAGCCACATCTTTCTCTTATTTCCATGTTTTCATCCAATGGGAAGGTGCCAAGACCAAGTGGGTGGGACTGAGATTATGAATGGGAAGAAGCAGGGCCCTTTTGACTGATGAGCACAGGGATGGCTTCAGGGGGTACAAGGTGAGTTATTTGGTTCCATTTCCTTTGCTGTTTTTATTTAAACCAAGTTAAACTGATCTACTGAATCATGGTCGTTTTTGGAGTGTATCAGGAAAAGAGTTAAAGTGTCACCAGTCTACCTCTCCTGGGAATAAAGAACCAGGAGGATAATCTGACATAAAAGAAGCTTTCTATGCACCTTAAATAGCAACGTCATATTTCAAAAATAACAAGCAAAAATAAAACAACGGTCCCTCTGTGATTTTGGTTTTGCTCTTTAATTCTGATCGATGACGGTCAAAATGTCTCTTCCTGTTTAAACTGCAAGAACATGTTCCACAACAGCAAAATGGACAAAAATGTGGGACTTTTCACAAATTTTGGCAGGATTTTACAGGATTTTACATATCTCATAGTTATTCAGGTTCAAAAGTGAAAATCTGTTTGTTGTCAGCACTTAAATTCCCACAGAAAACTCGTGAAAGCATGAATTTTGTCATGTCGTCACACCACTCAATTTATCACGGTGTCTCTAAATCACATTGTGAGACAGGAGGAAGTAAAGCTGTGGATTTATTCTAAACCAGAAACCAGTCATGAGTCCTTCTGTGTTTTACTGAAACTGCATTTGCAATGTGATAAATGACACAGCAGCATCCTAACCTGCAAACGTATAATGTTACACGAGTCTGATGAACGGATTTTTAAGCTTTGGCTTTTACATCAGGCACTTCCACAGAATCCTAAATGTTTAGTGAGGGTTTTAGCTGTAACCCCTTGATAGAGGTTGATTGTACGACTGAAATAAACTTCCTCCTCCTTCAGCAATGCTTCTTTTATCATCACTTCCCTGCGGCTTTTACCTCAAGACAGAGCTGATTTTTCTCCTGATTCTGATGGAAGCCACTCAGCATTATTTATATTTTGGTTAGGAAGTCTGCTGATGTGTGATTTTATTTTAGCCAGTTTGAAAGTTTAAACATTTTATTTTTACCAGGCGTTGCTTTAATCTAGGCTTTACAATTGCCTTTTATTTTGTTATAAATTCACTAGTGGCTTCTCCCCCATCGTCCGAGGGTCAAACATAGGGCGGGAATGCACAGTTGGACGATGTGCGTGAGGGCTTTGAGTCTTGTTTAAATTTTAAACACCATCTATATGCATGATTGCTGGGGAGAGGAAGCAGAAGAGGTTGAGAGGTGCAGGGATGGGGGCAGATAGATGGGTCTTTGATGAGCTGACAGAAATGAGGCCAAGCACTCTTCTGGAAGAATCTCTCGTCCCTCGAGAGTGACTCATACCGGGAATACCCCCTTAGTGACAGCGAGACGCATTTTCTCTGCTCCATCTCTTTTCATGAAAGCTGATTTGACGTCTTATGATTGAAGCAGTTAGCATTACTTTGCCCCCTCTAAAACATGGTTCAATGGAAAAAGGAAACCCCCTGTGATTAGAGTGGATTTATAGTGAATGCACACCCCCATTTCTCTCCCATGTGTGAGGTTGTAAAGGAACCAAGAATCTAGTTTCCGCACTAACAAAATGCTACTCACGCCAATTATCACCTGCTAAACACTGATGCTACATCCGATTTAAAAAGGCTAACAGGCCAGGCCTGGAATCCGTCGTGTAACGCCTGCTAATGAGCCAACAAGTTAACAAGGGAAAGGGTTAAAAGTTAAGTCATTCTTTCAATGAAGCATTCCTCAGCTAGCCTGGCAAGCCAGACTAAATAAATGTATTATTTAGTCTGGCAACGCTCCACTGACGGCTCTCGGTTGTGGGGCGGGTTCTACCGTTGTCTTTCAAATGATCTCCGCATGCTACTGGACAAAGAATGTGACATACTCTTGTTTCACTCTGTTGCATCATCCCACCCACCAGGCATTTAGAGTGCCCTGATTGGCCCACAAAGCGGATAAAGCTCTGTGATTTGTTCTCTAAGCAGATAGAGCACTATGATTGGCCCACCATTATGGACCAATCACAGCTCTTTATGTTTTTGAAACCCCTCTAGAGAGTTGTGATTAGCCAGCCAGAATGCTGTTGGGGCTGCAGAGGTTCCAGTGGAGCGTTCCTAGACCAAACTTTGCAAAGCAAGAATTTGGTCTGGTTCACTAGGCTATTCCTCAGCTGCTCCTGCAAAATAAATCATTTTTATGTTGTCTTAAAGGAGGGTGAGTTTTCTCCTAAATGATGCTTTTGTGAAAACTTCTCTGCTTGTGTCTACAGATCTATGACCCAGCCTTTTTAATGGATGTGTAAATGGTACATAAGTTACAGAAATGTTGTACCTGCAAGCTCCCTTCACAATAGGAGCGTTTCAGACGTGAAACGGCAGTGGAAGCATTCCAGCTGGTCCCACGTGGCCACAAAATTATAAAAGAATTGTAACACTAAGCACGAATTCAGCAGTTCATGCAAAAACAACCAAGAAGAATGACGGCAGCTTGAGTCCAAAAAGGTCTGAGGTTTATTTTCTGTTCTGTTTACTTCGACTACAGAGGTTTCACAGGAAATGGCGTACTTCTTCTACAAGTTAAGCAACTGGAAATCTGCATGTAACTTTTATTTAGAAATTTTCTGGATGTTTTACACTGTTTTCGTGTTTGACTTCCGGTCTGGCTTCAATTTGTACTGCTAAACTTGACACTTTCTGGAAGCATAGCATGTTAAAAAAGACTCAAAGCGTAAGCAACATGTCCTGCACTTCTGGAACGCTTCCAAAAGAAATGCTTCGCAGCTGGTGGAAGCACACCTATCAACTATGACAGCGGCTAATACTGAGTTCCTTGCAAATTACGCTATGCTTAGGCGTCTGGTGGAAAGGCCCAGTAAGAGTGCTGGTTTCAGCTTTATAAAGCTGAGGACACATACCATCACCTTTTCAGTCTTAAAGCTTTTAACTGGAGTACACTCAAATGGGTTTTAGCAGACTTTTGTATAACTGAAAGACTGTTGACGACAGAGTATATGATCTGCTAAAGCAACACGATCTCAAGCTCAAAGGGTAAACAAACAGCAGCGGTACCCTCTCTCGCTGTTCACCATCTTTGTTTTGGGATTCACGCCGATTCCTTGTCAAATTCTGACACTTTTTCTGTGTCTACCTCTTTATTTATTGGCTGTTGGCAACATGTGTTTCCAGTTGGGTTGGTAATCAGTCCAAACTACCCGCCTGAATCCAGAAATTCGAAAAATGTTTGATTGACTGTGAGCAAGGTCAGGTTAAGTAGTTTTTCCTCACACAGAAACAGATTTATGTGCAGACTGGTGCTGATTTTATCCAGCAGAGAATCCTGGGTAAATCTGTCCTCTGCTTAATGAAAATGTTCATTAAAAGTTAAAGAAAAGAGGGAAAGTTCTTAATCGATAAAAGGTGAGATTTTATATCTGTGGTATTTAACTTTGCTGATGTCTGACAGCCAGGCTCTCGATTTACCGGTCGATCTACGTCCCAATCCTCACCTATGGCCATGAGCTTTGGGTAATGACCAAAAGAACGAGATCGCGGATACAAGCGGCCGAAATGAGTTTCCTCCGTAGGGTGGCCGGGCTCAGCCTTAGAGATAGGGTGAGGGGCTCGGACATTCGGGAGGGACTCAGAGTAGAACCGCTGCTCCTCCGGATCGAAAGGAGCCAGTTGAGGTGGTTTGGGCATCTGGTCAGGATGACTCCTGGACGCCTCCCTGGGGAGGTGTTTCGGGCATGTCCTGCCGGCAGGAGGCCCCCGGGTCGACCCAGGACACGTTGGAGAGGTTACATCTCCAATCTGGTCCGGGAACGCCTTGGGGTCCTGCTGGAGGAGCTGGTGGAGGTGGCCGGGGAGAGGACGGTCTGGAGCTTCCTAGTTGGGATGCTGCCCCCGCGACCCGGACCCAGATAAGCGGAGGAAGACGACGACGACGTCTGCTGTTTAATTATACTTCAGAATTTGGGGCGGATTTTCTTTCAAAGTCCTTGAAGTTTGTAAAACTGGTCAGAGTAAAATTCCATGTACACATTTATCTGTGTGATGCCAGAGTGAGACAACAACAGGCAGAACATCTGCACGATGCACAGCTGGAGACAAAAACTAAACTGGGTTCTTTGCACAGTTAAAATGCATTAATGACAGTCAAATAAACAAATGCACTGAAAACAAGATCTGTGTTTGTCTTTCTTAATGCACTCCACCAGTGCAAGTAAATTAAGCACATGGAAAATTGCTTTATAATAGATCAGTAAAGTGCATAATGTTGGTTCCAAGCCAGACTTCAGTTAGTGAGTTCATCTCGCAAAACCTTTTCGATTGTGTCTGGCTTCATGGCAAATATGCCTCACAGACTACACTCAAAATACTTCACCAGCCCCAGGAGACGAGTATAAGCCGATTTGTAAGCCTAGTGCAAAAGACATAAATCAAACTCATGCAGCTTCTAACTCGGCGAATGCATTTTAACTAAAGTTTTAACCAGTTTTGATGAATCCGACTTGAGAGAAAAACTTGGTGCATAGTTCCTCAGTTTGATAATCTGAGCATTCTTGATCACTAGTACCACACATTCCTCATTTATGTGCATGTTGGCAGACGCCTGCTGTTGGGGGATTTAACATTTTTTATTTAAATCCACAAAACTTTATCTTTATTTCAGATTGAAAATGTTGCACAATGCAGAGAAAACGTCTCAGAAGAAAGCCTTGAAGTTCCAGATGATGACTTACTTCACCAGCTTTAACATCTGTGCGTGAGCGGGTAATGTGCTGACTCTGCTGCGGTAAACAACACTTTCTGTGATCAGCCATGTGAACGCGAGGAAGCACCACGACTCTGTCACTTTATGGAATGAACCTAAACAAGTTCAGTTTCTGGAGTCGAGGGTCGGAAAAGTCGGTGTTTCAAACCAGCAAAAAAAAAAAAATAAAGCTGACGTTTAAACGGCTTGATCTACAGTTACTAGAATTTGGTCCAGATTAAAGTTCTAAAATACTATTTTCTGCAGAAATGATGAAAAGAGAAGAAACAATTTTTTATGAGTCTCTCAAGACAAAAACCACAAGGACAAAAGATAAACTGAAAAATGTAATCTCACCTATTTGCTCCTGTGTGTGTGTGCGTGAAGGCTGCGGCTGGACTTCAGCCTGGGCTTGTTGCTGCTGCTCCTGAAGACTCTGAGTGTCCACTGAGATGCCGCTGTCACTGTGCAGCTTCTCACCTTCTGGTGTCACCATCTGGTTGTTTGTGGCAGCACGATTATTAGCTGCCTGCTTGTTCTGCTTGCAGCTATTCCACCTGTGGATACAAAGCACGTGTCTGGAAACAAAACTGTAGCAACTTCTTTAACTTTCAGACAACACGTCTTTACTTTAATAGCCTACTTCTAAAGCAAATTAAACATGATCTTTTTTTGGAATATTGTTGTAAGCTGTAAGATGTTAAAGAGGTCCTTCACTGTTACTTTGAATACATTGGCAGTGGTCTATAGTAGGAATGAATGCCTTGTAAAGCCTGATTCATGCTTCTGCATCTGCGTCAGTGCGGAGACACGCAACGCCATTATCTGCCCTTGCGGGCCTGCTGGAGAGCCCCGCAAGTACGTACGGAGTCGAGCTCTCTTTTCTAAACATCCATCCATCGAGACGGAGAACGCAAGCTTTTGATTGGTCAGGGCACCGCTGTTGTCTACAGCGCCGCCATTGCGCCCTCAAAAACATAAAGAGAGCCGAGGATAACTAGCGGCAGACACGGAGAAGCTTGAAGAATACCTCGCGAAAAAACTCTAAAAACATGAACGTTTAATTCCCCCGTGACTGGAGGAGTGAAAAGATGCGCAGCAAGCGTTTTATTTGTGCACGGAAATGACAGGAAACGTGGGTTTAGAGGTGGGGAGCGCATGAAGAGGTGGAGGAGGATGAGAGACAAATTTGTCCGTGTTAAAAAGTCTCTTATATACAAAAAACACAATATAAACACACTATCTTGGACCGGATCCATGACAGGATACCCCAGAACAGCGCTACGCCCTCTGCTGTCATGGCAGGGAATTGCTTTGCAACACTTCCCAGGAGACGGAGAAGTATGAGGGTAAATGTCTCCGTCCGTCCGTGCGTGTCTCTCCCTGTTGGAGCTGACGGAGAAGCATGAATCAGGCTTAAGTCATGGGCACAAAAATCTCCGATGTGCCTTTCAGCACAGAGAATTCAGCCAGAGGTGAAAGTAATCTCAGACAACAGGATTTGGAGTCTTACTTCCTGATATGTGGACACCTCACCTCTGACTGGCTAACAGCAGCGCCACTCTACCACAGAATCCATTTACTTTGCATTGTTGATGTTTCATCTCCACAAATAAGAGCCTGAATGAGTTCTGCCATGTGGTGGAGTTGCTAATGCTAACAGTTAGCTTCTACCAGCTGATGTGTTCTCTGCTGTTGCCTGGACACTAAACCAACAACAAACATCCCCGTCGTGAGCCATGATGGGTCAGCCCATGTGACAGTGTGACGTAGATCTGTCAGACTTTTCTAATCCTAGAGTTTCACCGTCTGTTTTCTATCAGAAGCTAATGCAGGAGATAGGTGTAGGAGACTATTTTCATGGTCAGCCTGCATGCAAAACTAAGAATGACTGATTATAATCAGAAATAATCATTAAAAAATAGTTTCTCAGAGAAGAACATATTTAAGTCAGAATTGAACGTTTCTGTTTGCCCACATTTTTTCTCTAAAATGTGTTTTTCGCAAACAATTTCAAGAGCATGAAGAAAATTAGCAGAGCAATCACTAACGAATGACAGATGAGATATTTGTGAGGTTGTGAACGATAGAACCGGTTGAAACATTTACGAATGTCTCATCATATTTTGTTTTTACATGTGTAACAAAAAACATACATATGGAGTGTGTGTACCACTCGGATTTCTCCTGGTCGGCACGTTTCAAACAGTCAATCCTCTAATGAGCTTGTTTACTTGCTCCAAGCGTGTTTATCTGGCGTCTGTATCTGTTGGACTGGTGTCCTCTCTAATGTGTTTGTAGTCTCTGTAAATGCATTAAGTGGTGTAGTTTTCTTTTTTCTTTTCTTTTTTTTTTTTTGAAAGAAGTGGGTCAGAGCTGCTCCAGCCACAACCAGACTGAACATTTTTCTCTTCAGCGATTTTTGGTTTTCTGGGGAAACATCTGTGTTAAAGGGATGTTGCCTCGAGCACTTTTCACCCTTTCTGTGCTGGATTATTTTGTTTTTGAGGTGTCAAACTCAATTGTGTTAACACATTTAGGACCAAAGTAGGCATTTCTTTATTTATGTCTTTATTTTTCTTTTCTACTGACCTCTTGAACACAATGTATGCCACCAGACCCACCACTACCGCAGCCAGGATGGAGCAGTAGATGGGGATGAGGTTTTCATTGAGGCCATGGCCAAGGAATCGGGGAGAGCCAGCGCTGGATGTGGTTGTCTCTCCATTTGGCAATGGGTTGTCTGAGCCGCCAGGAAAGATGGCATCTGAGTACGTAAGCGGATCAGCGATGGTTGGGTCGTACGTGGGGAGATTCGGATCTGGAAGAGAGATGGTGAAGAGATTCAATTTGTAGGTAAAACGTTTAGCTCTAAGTTTTCCACCGATCTACACAAAATGCTCTGAGCAAAACGTGCCCATGATGATTGCTTTTTTTTTAAAAACATCTAAACTTGAATCCATTTTGAATCACATTTGAATGAAATCCAATCAGAATAAGCAGGAAATTTGCATCTAACTTGTAACGGAATGAAATGACTGTTTTCCACCACAAGTCATTTCCCCCTCTCCTCTGACACAGAACTAGTCTGCGTGAGATATGGCCTCAAGGTCTCATGCATTTGTTACAAACTGCTTCTTACCAGCTCAAGAGAAGAATGAAGAATGGACACTCTCCTTTTAACAAATCAAAGAGCTCTATTTTAATAAAGCTAATCAAACAAAGTGTTAGTCAATAATAAAATGTGACCAATCTGTGAAATCAAAATATTAATTAAGTTATTATAATCCTATAGAATATAATAAGTAATATGACTTTAAATGTTTCCACTAGGACTGATCTCACAGCGTTAAAAGACACGACACATTGCTTTAATGATCCAATCAGAATCTGCCAGATCCGACGGAGGAGTGGTTTTGGTGGTGCTTGGTAAATCTGTCATCTTTTCATTCGACCATAAACCAAAACATCCGAAGTATAAAACTATGCCCACGCCATCTTTAACGCCAGTTCAAAGCGTTCTAGAGAAGTTGTCGGAGTGGCCAATCCATAACTCTCCTCTTCAGCCAAAAGAACCAACGACAAGCTGGAAAATCTGTTGTTATTCCAGCTGCTGCAACGGTTCCTTTCAGAATAAAAGCTGAATCATCACGACCCAGGTTTGGGTCTCGCTAGACGCCAACAAAACTGTCATGACCCGGGAAGTATCTCAAAGACTGGTCTGGTCGGCAACCGCGGCTGTTTCTACAGGCTTCGGCTCCATAAAGGTCAAGCTGGACCTCTACACCTGATCTAGACGGGGACTTCCGCTAAGGGTACGTAGACCGACAAACGGCGTCGAATGTGTTTATGAATCTCCTAACCAAAGCTTAGTGCCAAGACACCACCTTCTTTCCCATAAGAACTAATCGCTTCTTTCGAATTGCTGGTTCTGAGCAACATTCCACACTACACAATTCTCCGTCTCACTCACCTTAGTTACACCATACACTTACTGTTAAAGTTAGTCTAGTTTAATTTGTTTAGTAATAAATCTTTAAACTTTTAAACTTGACTCTCGCTTCTGTTGTCTCTGAATTAATACGAGGCTGTTATCTAATCCCTGCAATAAAAAGTTCCAATCTTCTGGTTAAACAGTACCCACAAGGTGGATTTCATATTTCCTATGGAATCTCATGTCTTATGGCTTATTAAATAACATGTAAATTTAACTCATATCAAACTTAAACCACAAATGTATACCTTCTGTTTGCATCAAAGTAACAAGCCTTGAGCTATCTCACTTTGCATGTACAAATAAGGATTTAGTGAATTCATTAGCTAGAAGTCTGAATAAGTCTTAACTTACACAATAGGGTCACTGGACCTCATACAGATCTGTTCTGATTTTTATTTAATTCAATGGCTGTGGAAGGAAAGAAATGGCATTATGATGACGATCTATTTGCAGAGAGCTTGTTTACTGGGGTGTGATTAGTCCCCAACCAGATGTCTGATGCTCTGCACACATGCAGCAGCTGCTTTTCATAGACAGATGGGCTCTGGCTTAGTTGCTGAGTGCAGGAAGAAGGATTCTTTCTGAAGGAGGGAAGGCAAATTTATATCATCGACCAGGCCTGGCCTGGTTTGAGCCCTGCACACCAGGCTCCTTCTCATCACATGCTAATCTGTGTAATGGCTGCACATTTCATGACATTAAGGCCATATGGATCTTCGAAAAATGAAGTTCTGGGATTGAGGGAGGTCATCTTTTTGATTGTATACCCTTTGCCGAAGCTAGAGAGGCTGGGAGATCGCCGTGCTACTGCAGAGGTCTGGCTTCTGTCACAGCAAAGCCTGTAAAAAAGACATTTTCATACATTGTCCTGTTTCCGATTTCCCTCTGAGCTTTTTAAGGACAGTGCAATTTCTCATCTTGGAGCAGCAAGACGCCCTCTGTTATGATTCTTGATCTTTGCTCGAGCTGTTTCTTTCAGGTACTCAAAGGTTCAATAAGTAGCCTGCAGATTATTTATTCCCACGGGTCGTGGTGAAGGAGGATAGCACCCATCCAGCCAAAAGCAAAACTCCTTTGAGCAGAGCCGCCTGTTGGGGATGAAGAATGTGGAGCTTGGTTCAGATCTGAGCCTGTAAGTCCCAGAAGAACCTCAGGCTGCTCTTCATTAGCTTTGTACTGGCCCTCTCCGGATTAACCCTATGGAGACCCCTAAGGCTTCTCTCAAGGCCAAAGACTGGAAGGCATTTATCCAGAAAACTGTCAGGGTTGATCGTCTAAATTCAGATTTTAAGGGCTTCTGACCGAAAGTTCAATAAATGGTTTCAAGCAATAATGAAGACTTTTGATCCGTTGCTGTAACTGGATTCTACCATATCAGCTACTATTTATCAGGCTCAATCTGGTGAACATGGGAGAAACACTCAGTTTTATGTTTGACCTCCGTGCGTCTTTTAGCATCTTAGGAAAACCAGTCCATTGTAACTTTTTTTTTTTCACTTATCCTTCATCCCAGTTTTCCCTCACCGGCACGTCTTTAAAAACAAACAGCAAAGCTTTTCCCATTAACAGATTTTCTCCTCCTAACAGCATCATTTCACCCTTGCACTTTGACAGAAACTGGAATTTCACACTATTGCACTTTAAATATTTTCAAATTTCAAATTGTACCTGCCTTGAAATGAATATAAATCATTATTCTGAATAGTGCCATGGTTTTGTGTCTGCTACGTTGAATTAAAACATGCTTTCTGACTTGTTCACACTATACGAAAATCTGGATAAACGCACCACCTCCTGAGGGTACCAGAGCTCAGGCTGGCTGTAATTTCCTTCTTTTTGTTCATGCTAAATCATAAATAGTACCTTTATTAGGGCATTAATACTTTCTTTAGAGAGATGCGCAGAAGTAGTCTTCTTAAGTCTACAATCTTTAATCAATATTCATGGAAAAAAACGTCCATTGATGTAGACCACAAGAATAAAGATGTGCAGCGGACCATCACAGCCACGGTTCGCCTGCTTTAGTTCTTTTTTACTGATGTGGCAGACAGTCAAGCTTCTCCACATTGATTTGATGCATAATTTTCACACAGTTACTACCTTAAATAGTCCAATGGGATCTTAACAGGCAGTTTATGTGGGTGTATTTGAGAAGTTTCTGCTTGTTATTGAGAGTCCACGCTGGTCTGTCTGTCAGTGTGGTGATGACAGAGCAGTTCTAACATGCATGAGCGTGGTCGGTTTACTGGAACATCACACAAGGTAGAAAACCTCAGTGCATGTGCACGCCATACTTAGAAACGTGCAGAATGCCCAGACCTATTTAAAGCCGCTCTATTGATTCTGGTCTATCTAAAAGGAGGGAGTGTTTGGAGGAATCAAACACAGGAGTCTGTATTACATGCATTTCTTGACCTTTCCTCAGACGTAGTCAGGTTTCCTTTGCCCTGCCATGCATCATCCAGCTAATGGTACCCTGGCTAATGCTATTAGCAATGCAACACGAGCTTGCAAATAAAATAACTTGTGAATGGAAGCTATGAAAAAAAAAGTGAAGATGTGCAGACAGCACAACCTTTTAACCAGTTAGTCTACACTTACAGGCTACCTGCACCACTGTAAATGCATGAATGCGTCAGGACTCGTTGTAAATCATCTCATTTTAAGCCAAGATTGCACCCTTCCTGACAGCATGTGTCACTTAACACAGACTCAGTAAGAAAGGTTAAAGCACAGGGTGATACATCTTTTCTTGCAACTTCCTGCTTTTTATGTTTGTCGTCTTTCACGACAACACAGCTGGCCGTGGACCAAAAACACAAGCCCGAGGCAGCAGGGGCTGCATACTGCACCACAGCTGGAGTGGAGTAGGAGCCTAAAGGTGGCAGCGGACCTTTAACAATTCCTTTTGGACTTCAGTGAGTTTAAAAACACTCATGAAACAAAATAAAACTGGGCCCAGGATTTTATGAGTGGGGCTGCAAGGGCTCAGAGATGTGTTTATTACTGGGGTGTGGACGCAAGAGGGATGAAGAAAATGATTTAATTTTTATGAGCCACTGAGGTCTTTATGGTGAATTTAACCCCAGGGTCTTTTGCAGGGGTTGAAGTCTTGGCTTCTGCCAGTTCAGGAAGGAGATGAGCAACTATCGGGCCCGGCAAATGTACAAAGAGCTCTTTATCAGCCACCAAACACTCTCTCTCTGTCTCAGCTGAGCGTCTATCACAACTACTTGGTGAAAGCACATCCATCACACACACACACACACACACACACACACACACACACACACACTACAAGTTATTCAAGTGAGCGCTTCGTCTGCTATTGGGGAGTGTTAATAGGAAGAGTGGAGGGGAGGGGAGACAGAAAGCCAGAGTGTTAGGAGAGAGTGAGGAGGGGGTGCAGACGAACAGAGGAGCTGCTGTAAAGTGCTCTGATTAGTGGGGGTGATTATATTGCAGCGATGAAGACACTGAATGCACACTGGACAGCTTCCACCGCTCCGCTCACCCGTCTACTCGAGAGCGTCTGTGGGAAAAGATGGAAGGAAGGGGAGGAGGGAGAGGAGGTGATGGGGTCGGCCAGATGAGAGCCGGGCAATAAAGAGAAAACAAGTCAGCTGTTATCTGTGTTTTTAATCTCTCCCTCTCTCGCTCCTGAGGACAAACACTCACACACATGCTCGACGGTTCAAAACAAACACACTCAACTGAAGGAAGAGGCCAAAATGGACAGAGAGCCTCGCTGACGCAAAAAGTGTTTGCAAATTCAGATCAAAGGCCTTCACCCGTGCAAGCTGTCCGGAGTTTGGTGAAAAATG